CAGGCTAAAGGTTTTGAGTTCTGTCATAGCATTTTGTATCCCTATTAATTTTGGAGCTAGCAGCACAGGGCACTGTGGACTCCATTTTCCTTTCAAGTCACATTTCGAAACAGGACATGGATTCCAGCATGTATCTCTGTTCTCAGTGCAGTTTGTCAAGTAATAAGCCTTTAGGAGTTTCCTACTTCTAAGTGCTACTACCTTGCCTGCTTTGTAACGTTCCAGTCTTATTTTTTACCTCTGCCCAACATACACTGAACTAAGCCAATGAAATCATGTCTGAGTCTAAAGCCTGTATCTTTTCTCTGAGACCCAGAACTTGCCACAGTCTCTTTTAGCATTCTACAGCATACTGGTCTTAAAATTGTATTTGCTTACTGTAAGGCTCTTTGGGTTCAGGAAATGCAAACCACTTTTGCTATCAGACTAAGCAAAATATGTAAATCTGATAAAAAGTGAGTTGCTTGTAACTTTGACTCTGCTAGAACTCAAGAGCTTTAAAGGAGCACCTAGCAAAGACACTGGCCACAGCAAGCTCCTAAATATTTACTGAATTAAATAATTCTCCGATTGAAGTAGAATATTTACATTAGACCTAACATTTCCCCTTCCATTAATCTAAGAGATTGTTAACTGCAGCTTCAAGAGGTTCCTATAAACATAAAAAAGATGCTGCATAAGAAAATCAACCTTCTAAATTACCAAGGACACGTTCACATTTCTGCCCTGCTAACTCATGTACTGTCAATAGACACCACAACCAGCTACAGAGCTGGGGTAAGCTTCTCCCCAAGGCCAAGAGCACTCAGAAGGCCACCCCATTAACAGAAGCCATAATAAAGGACTCTGAAAAGAAATTACAAGATTGGGCATCTAACAAACCATTAAGTAATCTCCTGTCTTTTACAAACACTGAGAAAAATCCTAAAGATCAAATTAATACTTTTAAAAACCTCCAATGACAGGATAAATCCAGATGGTACTAATATGTGCACTGTGGAGACACATGGAGTTAGACTTGCTATCTATAGCTGCTGTCCTGGGGGAATGTGATTTGAAGTCTACATCCTGGTAAAAAGTGAGCCATGTTACAACAGTGACTACTGAATGGAACACACTTTTATAACTCCCCATATTATACATACTTCTTTGTTTTCCTTAAAACAGTTCATTTTTTAAAAGAAGGAAAGCTGGGTGTTTTAGGCCAGTATTTTAGATTTACAGTTTACTTTGGCTTTTTTTTTTTTTTTTTTTTTTTTTGCAGTCCATCTCATAGGGCCAAGTAACTTAGTCTTTTGGTTGTTGTTGTTTTTTAATATTTGGAAACATATGTGACTGAAGTTTCATGTCCAAACACCCATTTTGAAATAGTCCTCTATCCTCCTACATTCACTTGCAAAAGCCTGGGGTATGCAAACAAAGACACAGAGGGCAGGGAGCCAGTTAATAAATCTCATTTCCCATCTGCATCTGCATAAAACAGAGCTGTGGGGAGCATCCCCTCCAGGGAGATCCAGAGCACAACTCACACACTCCGTGAATTAAACAGTGTCACCTCAAATGCCCCCCTGGCCACATTTATTTTTTAAGCAGTTCTTAAATTATATGGACTTGTAGTGCTCCTAAATGCGGCCAAGAAGCTGAGGCTGAGGAGACAATCACACAACAGTGGACCTGAGCAGTGGAAATGTACGTACGTACATGGCTTCGCTGAGCCAATTTTGCATTTTTTAAAACCTGGAATTACTAATCTCTAAGATATTTGTTTTTCTAATCAAAGTATGCACTACCTTCAATAATAATCTATCACCTAGTCGACTCCAGGTTGTGAAAATGAGCTTGTTTCGATATCTGGGTCAGGAGCGACAGATGACTTTTATTTGTGAACAACCTGGTGCAAATGCTGTAAAAACAGAAGAGTGACTGCTTGCCCCTTAGCTGCGCTGCACAGTCCTACTTTCTAGGCATCCTCTCCTCCTTTTACCTGCACTGGAAGCATGGCAAAAGGCCCAAAAGACGCTTTCCAGTGACAGCTGCATTCTTCTACTGACATTTGTTCTTTCAAGAATTTGTTTTACATGGTTTTAATTTTTATTTTTTGAGGTATTAGAGATGGACCTCAGGGCCTTCCATGTGTTAGGCAAGTATTCTACCTCTGAATTATATCCCTAGCCCCAAAACGATTTGTTAAATGTTTGAAGTTAACCTCACAACATCTCTGTAACAATGAAACTAGATATCTTTCTGCATAACTGGCAAAGGGGGCCTAAGATAAAAGGTTTGCTGGGTTCCTATTACAATGGAATTGTTTCTGGCCTCATCCAGGGCCCTAAGGGACTCCACAGAGAACTTTCAAGCACATCTCATTGCTGACAGCTATCCCCAAGCTTACAGCCTAAGTCAGTCAAACTTTTACTTGGTTAAACCTCTACTGAGCTTTCAAATTGTCTTCCAAGTTTCCTTAGCAATTAAATGGCTATATTATTCCAGTCTTGAGATGCCAAAATAATGATGGAATATTTCCGGAGAGAAAAATGTGTCACATTTTTCCTTTCCCTATTTCGCTCCACAAAAAAAAGAAAAAAGTGGTAGTCACATAACATTGGTCATCCACTTTGAAAGAGAAGCAGACCAAGGAAAATATCCAGTGTGTCTATTTCTAAGGGCATCCTTTTGTATCAATGCAAGACAAATGCAATTCTGGAGGCCTCTGTCTCTACTTACCCTATGATGCCTCTTATTACAGTACTCACTAGTCCTATTATAAAAAATACAAATGCAATGATGCTCTTAGTGACTTAAGAATTGGTTCAGTCAGATCATTATTCAAATTCAGTTTTGCTTTTTATACAATCTCAGGTATTATAAGGACTCAGAAAGCAAACTGGAAGTAATTCAGAAAATGGAAATAGTAATTTGGATCAAATTAAAGCAGCAAATAAAATTTCATTTAAAAACAACAATTTATCATGAGACGGTAACATTGAACCTTTCTGTTAAATTATTTTCCACTGCCCATGAAACCCAACTGGGCAACTTCCTTTGGCTTATGTGGTAAAATCTGAACTCCATGCTAAAAGCAACTGCTACCTATACAGCATAAACTAAATCACTTAGGAGATGACAGCTTCAAGCATATTACTTATAAGAATGATTCAAATAAGTGAAGTTTAAAAGTAAATCAATTTTTTCTTCTTAAATCCTATTTTTAACTTTAGGATGTTCCCAGAAGACAAAGGTAGAGAAGTAAGGAGAGAAGGGGTCCAACTTTCTAATCACAGGGTCTCCTAAAGAAGGATACTGACAGTTGTGGGTCAATTTGGTTTACATTAAGAGAATAACAAGCACTTGAAATCCCTAAGGATGCCATGTCAACACATTTGTTGGAACCATAAGGCATGAGATTTTGGTGACCTCATGGGCACAGCCAAAATTAACTCCCAGTATTTATGTAACTGCCAGGGATGACAGGGCAAAGGTTGCTTATAATTGGGGGGGGGGGGGACGACTTAACGAACAGTGAGTGCGTGCCTTTGGTCAAAGAGAAAGGAAGTGGGGTATTTTTGGTCTTATTTTATGATATGCAACATTTAGATACACAAAATAGCCTGCCAGTAATGCCATCTGAATATATGGATGAAGGCTTTCAAAAACGGGTTATTTCCTGTTGCTTACTAGCAGAAAGGATGCGCTTTTAGCTTTAGTGGTGTGTGTGCTCGACTTCAAAGCAAAAGCATTGTTGGCAGTTATCAAGGTAACATTCAAGAATAACTACCACATCCTTCGGAAAAAAGAACAGAAGGGAAAAAATGGAAACCAAGCTTTGTAAATAAAGAGGGAAAAAGGGATTGAAAGAAGAGGAAGAAAATGGGGAAGAAAGAAGCAGCAAGATATATCAGGTACAGGTACAAATTCCCTATGATGAATGTTATTATGCATATCTAAAATGTACCGATTAAAAAAACTATGCTGACAATTAAAAAATAAATAAATAAAAATAACTACACCAGTACAAAAGAACTTCACGAAATGTGAGCAAAGAAGATATCAGTCTAAGTCTGGCCTTGAGCTGTCTAAGACCCTAGCTGCATTCTCCATTACATTGTTATCCTTATCAAACAATGCAAACAATTTTAATGAGCTTATCTAAGGGAACATATTGCCAGATACGTTAATGTAAAAATGATGCCAACTGCACGGGCCAACTCATTAATCAAAAGGCTCACAGTACAATGACCAAGATCATTCCCATCCTCAAATCAGACGTCGGTAAAATACCAGGAATTACCTTTCCACAGTAAATAAGAAGGAAGGGCTCCCCCACCCATGTGGAGGCCATAAACTCCTAAGAAAATGCATTAACACCACCCAGTTTTTTACAGGTCCATTACAGTCCAGTCTCTTTCTAAAAATCCAGGGTTCGAAAGAGAAAATTTTGGTTTATGTCTGACACTGTGACCTTTGCTGTCAATCCTTGCACCAATCAGCGAGCGGAATTCTTACAAAGCTCCATCAATCTGGTGGTTTAACATCACAGACTGCAGCTTAATCTAGAGGATTCCATATTTCCTGCACGCTCTCCAGGTTAAACGCAAACGTTTTTTCTCGCCATCCTCTCATTTGTTTTCTCCGCCTTTAGGCACAGCTACCTAATGGCTCCTTTAAAATCGAAAAAGGGAAGGAGGAAAGGAAGTGCTACAGCCTGTCTCTCTTCGGAGGGGGGAGAAACAGCATGCATTTTTATCAATGTGGAGGGAAAGAGATGGAGGGAGACCCTTTGCAGGCAGCAAACCTATTCACAAAATGCTTTCCATCTGCAATGGTGAAGCCTCAATGCATGCCCAACGTGACATACAGAAACAGCAAATAATCTCGCCAGCCTTCACGAATGCACGTCTGCAGCCCGGGTCGCGGGCAGTGTCTGCTCCATTATATAACGGGCCGGACTTCCGCGCCTCCAGCCGCGGTCCGGCCGGCGCGCCCGGTGCCAGCCCCATTACCTGTAGGAACGCTCCCCGCGCACTGTGTGCTTCCGGAAAGGAATGATGGTCCCGTTATCCTGGATGATATCGTTGTTGTTCTCGCCATTTGGGGACAGGGTTTGGGTCGGCCCAGGCATTGGCGCACTCCCGAGGAAGGGAATAAACCGCTGTGGGCTGGCTGGTGAGGATGGTGGCTGAGTCTTCCCGCTCGCGCTGGCTCGCCTGCTCGCAGGGACCGCGCCTGCCGCCTGCTCGCTCGCCGCCGCCTTCTCCCAACTGGGCTCCCGCCCCGCCCCGCCCTCCTGCGTCCCGCCCTCCGGCTGCTGACGTCAGAGCGCCGGCAGCAGCAGCCGGGTCACGTGGGCCGCCCGTCACCATAGCAACCCGCTAACTCATCACCTCGCCTCAATTCACACAGGGCCGCGGCGTGACCACGCCAGCGGCTTCAGGCAGGCACCGAAGCAGGCCTACATCTGGCACGTAAAACCCTAGGCCACCCCGCAACCCCCCTCGCAGACTAGCCTTGTCTGAAAACCAGCTCTTCCTCTAACCATTTCCTTTCCGACCCGTGCTCCTACTGCAGCTGTGTACACAAAAGAAGGATTCATGCAAAGGGGCGTGGGAGACCCTTTAACTCCTTGCGTACCAAGTTCCGTGCTGTGAAAATTAATGTTGGTCTGGGGGGGGGGGGAGATCCAAAATGATCTGGTGGCCAGTTTCTAGAAAAGATGTCCAGTCAAAGGGGTTAAATTTTCTAGCTTCCTCCCCCATTCTCCAAAGCAGCAACCTCCTCAATAAAAGGATAAATAAATAAATAAATTTAAAAGCCCTAGGAGAAGGCTTTTTCTTTTAATCAGCACAGAGCCCTTCCTTTAATAATGTCAAGATTAAAGATCGCAAATTAAGAGATTTTTTTTGCAAAGAAGAGTCCCAAAAAAGGTATTTAAACAGACACACACACACACACACACACCCCATAGTTTGCCAACACCCTCCCATTCGAATTCTCTATCCTGCCTCCTCATACACATAATCAATTGGTGGCCATCTCTTTTATTTCCATGTAAATAACAAGTGACTACCTCATTTAATATTTGGGAGTCTCAACATTGAAGCTGTTCTCCATCACTGCAATGTAGTTTTTATTCTTATTTATTTTGTCTTTTTGAGACAGGGTCTCACTATGCAGTTCAGGCTGGCTTTGAGCTCACCTTGCAATCCAGGCTGGCCTCGAACTCCCAATAATCCTCTTGCCTCAGTCTCCCAAGTGCTGGGATAACAGGCGTGTACCACCACGCCCTGCTTGTAATGTGGTTTTCAAACACGGTGGCTCTGAGTCAGGGGTTATTAATATCATTCCCCATTTTAGAACTGAGTAAACTAGATGGTTTAAATTACTACAGGTCACATAGGTAGAAAATGGTAAATAAATCACTGGCACAATGATGTGCACTCAAATACTATAGAGCACGAATGAGAATCAAATAGCTACACTCTCAATTGAACACTGCAAAGATGACTGTGAACAGAATTGCACACACTGTAAATTCTGTGGATTATTCACTCTCCACAGACACCAAGCATGCCCTGCGCTATCCTCCAGAAAGAAAAGAGTTTGTGCTTAACAGAAGTGATCTCTGAACTTTCATGAGATGGGAAAGAATTGGGGTCTAAAAGACATAGCATAAATGGATGTGGCAGAAAGTACTAGGCTATGGCTCATCCTTCCCACTATTGTACAATTTATCAGCTTCATCATTCTGTGATACAGATATTAAAAACAAGTAAAAACTCTGTCATTCCTGACAACCCTCCAGCATATGTCCCTGGTTATAAGTTATTTCTGGTATCAAGCTTCTGGAATTGGAATCAAATGTTTCACAACCCAGATGGTAATGATAATCTCAAACAAGGGGCCCCCTTTTTTTCTATTTTATACTCTCCTTTTGGGCTATTAGTTTAATAATTTTATTTTCTGCTTCCCCTGTTTCTTCACTTGTATACAAGTTGATTCCTCTGTTCACATCTTGGTTTATATAAGAATTTTTTCATTTTTTCTTACGTAACCAGTGACCAGTCCTGACCTATGACTTTACAAAGTACACAGATAAATATCTAAGTATAAGAAATACACAGCAAGCTTCACATTCCACAGTGAGGTAGAGAGACATAACAAGGTAGTCACTGCTGCAAAGACTCATGCTTCCTCTACTGTTTCTATTTCTTGACCTACTGCTGTCAGTGCTTTTAAAGATTTGTTCCCTTTCACAAAAGCTTCCCTTCTGGGGTGTGTGTGTGTGTGTGTGTGTGTGTGTGTGTGTGTGTGTGTAAGTGATAATCTGAAGTCGAAAGGCACAGTCTAAAAGCTAATATTCAATATTTTCAGAGTATGCTCTCACAATTGGGGTTTTTTTAATACAGCATATTTTTTCCATGATCATTCCATATTTAAGCAGTATTTTAGACATAGTGCTATCATGAGGACTACAGTGGTCAGAATTTGAATGCAGCTCATTAATTAATCAACTAATTTGTGGAACAAATACTCCCACTTTGTTTCTAGACTGCTCATGAAGGAGGAGATGATGACCAGGAATTTGGTTAATGGGCTTAAAGGGGAGGAATAGTGAGTCAGGTGAAGAAGGTGTCTAGGAACTCTTGTAAATTTTCTTCTACGACTGCTCTGAGCCACATTACTATAAAGGGACCTGGAGAACTCTTGAGACTAGTGATTACCCTCTGAGATGCAGGGGTAACAGGGGTAATAATTTGAAAATATTAAACAGATGTGTTTTCATTCCTCTCCCCATAAATCTGGTTACCTGGCAGTCATCCTCCAGTTTAGCTCTGGGGAAAAGGGAGGGCAAATTCCTTTTTGGGAAAGAGGATGATACAACATAGAGAAAGTGTTGAAGAGACGGGAAGAGGGAAGGGAAAATCCCACACTTTCCAGCCTTAATTGAGTATAGGAAGACAGAAAGAAGGTGGGAAAAAGCAAGGTCACCCATCTGCAAGCCTCCAGGCTCTTGTTCTAGAAGGGAGACATTAAAAAGGCTGTAGACAAAGGCAAAACATGAGAGCCAAGCTTTTGTCCCATTTCATGTAGCTTTAAGAAACAACTGCCTAGAAAAGATGTTTCCAACAGCTCTCTTCCTCCAAAAGAGGCACAGCCCAGTGACAGTAAAACCTTCTCTTTCCTGTAAAGGTATGGCCCCATCACAGTGAAGATTGGTCAATGACTTGATAGAATTAGTGAGAGGGTAGGCTTGAGTTTGAGTCTCCAAAGTACAGAAACATGATGTGGGACATATCTACAAGTTTCCATCTGCCCTGCAGGGCACGGGAGGGAGGTTGAGCACACAGCGCTATCAGAGAGCCAAGTTTTTGGTACTGGTGGTGGGAGGAGACTTTACTACAACACCCCAGTTCTACAGAGTGGAACCTCTAAGGTAGAGCCCAATAATATAAATAGACATTTCTGAGGAAGCTACAGAGTGCCAGGGCTAAGTCTGTTGGGAAGCTGAAGTGTCCAGCACAAGTCACCAGCAGAATGCTTGTGGACAGGGTCAGACCAGCTACTCCTCAGCAGACTTAGATACTGTAAATCCAAGGACCAGCATGAAATTTCTACAAGCCCCTTGCTCAATTCTACAGACGTTATTTTGCGGAGTGGTTAGGGAAAGGGAAGCACAACTGAAAGACTGAACATTCACCCAAGAGATGGAGCTATCCACATACAGCCTAAGTTGGAAGTGGCTGTAACACTGCTAGTGATCAAGTTTCTGGTTTCTGCTTCTTCAGCCCCCAGAAGCAGATGGAGAATAACTCAGATCAAGGGAGGGATACCTGAGCTATTTTTGTAATTTGACTGTGGATTCAGGTTTTGTTTAATGCACACAGGTTTACCTAAAATTAAGTATGTGCAGACTGCTTTTCTGTATCCCCATGTGCCCATGGAAAATGGCTACTCCACCAAGCATCATAATTTAGGTAGGGGCTCTGACACCTCAGGCAGACTACTGATGATGTAACTTTGGCAAGTTATATTCCATCTCTAAGATTTAGTTTAGTAACCTATAAGGTAGGTTTACTAATAATAGTTCCCCAATGCTATTGTGGGGTTAAGTGCATTTAAAGCACTTAACACACTGATGGCATACAGCAAATCCTCATTAGTGGCAGATGTTATTATTTTAAAATAATATGTTACACCCTCAAGTGTTCACTCATCCATGTAACAGTTGCAACTGGTTTTCTTATGGACTAAGAGCTGGTAAAATAAGACCTCAAAGAACTCCCAGGGTTGTGGGTAAGCAGGATGAAAATAATTGGCATTTGTAACTACAACATAATTATGATGGAATTGTACAGCATAGTATGGGGCCACAGAAGATGAGCACTGAATACCAGAAACTGAGAAGTAGATCTGAAGAGTTCCCCCAGCTCACTGATGATACCTGGTTTGGATGAGTAATAACTGTAGTAGCCTTTGGATGAGTAATGGTAGTAGCAGCTTTTTCTCTTCCTTTCCTATGTAATAGAACACAAGTTCCCCTAGGAAATGGCCTCTATTCTATTTACTGCTATAGCTTAAAATTCTTAGAAGAGGGTCTGGCAGGTAGTAGCCACTAAACGAATGTATAATACTTTAATTGATTGAATAAATATCTGAATTGATTCTCACAACAACCCTAATGAAAAAAATTTAGATTCACAGACGAGAAGCAACTTGTCTAGGATTAAATTTCAGGGTTTCTTGGTAATCCAAGAGGAAGATAAAGCAGATCTGTGTAGTTATAGAGGGAGGAAGTGTATGACATAGCTAGGGAGCAGCAGAGATTTTTTAAAAATTTAAATATGGAGCAAGAACAGAGTATACAGTGGTGGGATGTGGGAAGCCGCCTATGATGGCGCCCATTTCCTGCTTCTGGGTTCTTCCCGGCCTGAACAAGCCCGCCAAATTGTCAGGTCTGCCCAGTTACCCGTGACGCTAGCCTATCAGCTTGTTAGACGCGCTTCTCTGTGATTGGATACTGCTTCCCCTTATAAGAGGTTGTTCCTGCCCCCAACGGGCAGAAGAGGAACCAACATTGAGGGTGGCGGACCTTGTTAGGTCCGGTTCGCTGTACGCAATAAACTTTGAGAGCTGATCCTGCTCGAGTTTGGTCTCCTGTCTCCCGCGGCTCCGGTCATCTGGTGGCCCGTACGGGGAAAAAAGGTAAAAGACTCAGCGACGTGCCTCTTCGGCCGGGAGGTGCGATTGCTGTCGCCTGCGGTACGACGGAGGACCTGGC